ATAATCCGTTTGAGTCACGAGATCATCACCGCTGAACTTATGGCAACTTTGACTTCCATTTAAATAGGTGTTTTAAGACACCTAATAATGACTAATTTTTCACACCTAAAAGTCACGTATGCCCTGCTTAGATTAATATTTTGTTTGAGTCACGAGATCATCACCGCGGAACTGCTGGCAACTTTGACTACCATTTAAATAGGTGTTTTAAGAAACCTAATAATTACTAATTTTTCACACCTAAATATCACGGATTCACAGCTTAGATTAGTAATCAGCTTGAGCCACGTGATCATAACCAAGAAATTTATTGTAACTTTGAAACCTTTTAAAGAGGTGTGTAAGACACCTCAGAATTACTAGTTGAATATTACCAGAGATTCACGGACAGAACAATAAGACGATTAGCCAGTGTAAGTAACGTGATTATTACCATCAACCTTGGATAACCTGTGAAACCAATCAATAAGGGTGCTTACAAGACCAAATAATAACGTATTTATCGCCAACATCGGGTAACTGACAAAAACTCGTTGCTTGGTCAAGTGGTTATTTGGTCATAAACACTTGATTTACAGAGGTAAGTGGAATCACGTTACTCCAGTCGCGTGATAAACTGGTGGTTTTTAGGTTAGATGAAAACGTGAACAGGAGTACCTTTTTTGTTTAAATGAAGGCACGTGTCGATAACGTTTAAATCTAGTTCAAAAGGCACTATACTTTAAAATCACTTAAAATACACTCCCAAAAGAGGTTACTTTTTGGTGTTCTGTTTATTGGGTACTTTATGAAATGTTACCCGAGTGACTTCCGGGCGCCCCAATGCTGGAAAGAAACGCACATTTTAGAAAACTTCACTTTTTCATGGAAAAATGCTTATTTGTTTTATGCACGCAAGTCAGATTGAGCGGATGATACAACGTTTCCATATGGTGGAGGCAAGGCCCCCCCCCCCCCGATTACCTTCTTTTCCCCCATTTTTTTTCTTCTTCCTCTTCCTTCTTTCCTTTCTCTCCTCTTTACCTTTCCCTTCTTTTCCTTTTCTCTCTTTCTCTCTCCTTTTTATATGGGGGGGGGGGGAGGGGGCGGGGGGGGGGGGCATTTGCCACCTCGCACCCTGGATCCGCGCCTGGATGTACGGACGGTAAACAGTACGAAAAATGACTGGTATAGGCAGGGGCGTCGCTAAAGGGTGAGGGTGTGGGGTGCGACAACCCCCCCCCCCCCACCTGTCGGGATATTGTCGGTAAAATTGCGCTGCTGTCGGTGGGAAATGAGAAAAGGGGGAGGGGGAAATGAGAGGGAAAGGAAAAGAGAGAAAACAAGAAAAGGAAAAGATAGGAAAGAAAGGAAAGAGAAAAAAGGGAGAAACCGATAAAGAGAAAAAAAGAAAACCAGGAAGGAAAGGAAAAAAAAAGAAAAGGAGAAAAGGACAAAAAGAGGAAAAGGAAAGAAAAGAAACGAGGGATAAAAAAAAGAGGAGAGAGAGAGAGAGAGGGGGAAAAAGCCTGAGAGAAGAAGGGTGGGAGTAAGAAAGAGAGAGAGTGAGAGAGAGAGGGGGGCTTGGGGGTAGTTGCCCCCAAATTTGAAACGTGGTTTATTTTTAATTCGATACCAATGATTTACAAATGTTGCTGAAATAAAACGATTTTCCAAGTTTCCGAGATTTTGTTCACTTTTTTGTAAATCATACTTTTGTATGCGTTTGTTGTAAAGTGACTAATTCCAAAATTTATACTCGGGCAAAAAATATGCTACTTTAGTAGCTAACGTGTCATGGTTTGAACCCCCCCCCCCCCCCCATACACACACACACACACACACACCTTTTTGAAAAAGTATGTTAATGGGGAAATATAAAGAAAGAAAGAAAGGTGACCTGCCGGTTTCACAGATGAGGTATCAAAATATGCTTATCTGACCGTAATTAAATGCCTAAAACCCCCGACCTTCCGGGGGCATGCAGACCCCACCAAAGGCCCTTAGGCGGGCCCCTGGAAGCTCATCTGCCCTTATTTTAATGCTTAAAACACCAGAGCTTCCTTGAATCTCACCGGGGCTTTGCCCCTAGCCTTTTGACAAGGCCTCGTGACCCTGGCTAAGCGGCTGAGATGAGTCTAGATACCCCGGGTGAACGCGCGACCGAGTGACGAATGTCACGAGGCCTTTTGCAATGTAGGTTTCACTGCTCCGCATGAATTATTCATAGATACATATTAGCATGCCAATACGCCTACTTTGGATTTATTGATCAATCAGAACGGCGATCTCCCAGTTGGCTTCGTTCGTGATTCGTTCCATGTAGAGGTCAGTGGTCTTAGCACGTACGTAATAGTTCATAGTAGGCATGTAGGTCCATGTTCGCACTACGTAGAGTTTACTGTGTGTGTGTGTGTGTGTGTGTGTGTGTGTGTGATGGATACTATATGCTGACGTCGTGCGAGGATACGTTCGCTGATTGGACGCTCCCTTTTCTGAAGCGAATTCCAGTCGGAAATAAAGGTTAACATAAGAAATCCAAAACCAGATTGATAAAGGCTACTTGTCTGGGCAATTCGCACTGGCGTTCACCGAGGTTTTCGCGATTAGTCTCTTTTTAGTCGCTCGGCGTCTATCAGACATGTGGCCTTGTTTAAAGGCTACTTTGCCCCTGTACCCAACGCCAATTTAAACAATATTGCCCAGTGTATAGGCTAATGGTCCGGTCAAACTCCGTTTGTTTTCGATGTTAGGAAAGTTTCAGGAGATCAAGTTTTTGGATAAATCAAGTTAGGTTAATTAATATGATTATTAGTATCCTGAGGCATGATAATTCATGGAAAACTGAAATCTTGAAACTCTTTATTGGCTGAAATTGAAGAGCTTCTGTGTGCCTGGATCTGACTAAGGCTATATAATTTGTAGTTCCATAAGTCCTACTAAATGTTACTTTTTACACAAATATTATTTTCGTATAAATAATTACTAGTTTTTTAAAATAGCAAACTAAGTCCTTAAATGGCTATGATAATGAGCATGCTTGTTCTACTTAATGTGCCAGTGGCGTAGCCACGATAAGCTTAGTCGGGGGGGGGCAGGGTGGTGGGGCAAGATTTCCCACGAGCGGGACAAATGACGATAGGATTATGTGTGTTTTCCTTCTTTTAGCTAGATTATGGGGATGTCTATAATGATCAAAGCTAAAAAGTAAATTAATTTTTTAAAAAATACATAATACAGGGGATGCAACCGTTCGCATAATGTCTTACGGTAAAAAAAAAATCGTATCTGATTCTGAATATCCAACTTCCTTACTTATATGGAAAATATGTCGTGCGACGTTGTATATTTACGAAAAGCTTGAATATGGTATATAACTTAAGTCCCTACAACCCTCTCTCTGTCGCTCGAAGGCAACACTGATACAACCCCACGGCCCCCACCCTTAAACACACACAGGCTACGCCATCTATGAACTACTTGGACGAGAATTGTCGCTAATATGTACATGTACCAAGGGAATACTGCCGGGGGGGGGGGTGGGCAGAATGGCGCAGCGTGGTCGGGCTTACTTGGGGCGGGGGCTGGTGACCGGAATGATGGGACACGTTCATTATTTGGGCACGCCTTTTTTTTCTTCAGAAATGTAAGTTTTCAATAAATATTTTCTTCAAATGTTTGGAACCATGTGGCCTACCCCACCCCCGGCCTACGCCCCAGCCACGGCCTACGCTGTAGCCATGGGGTGTCCTCTGTCCAGTATGTCGCTTTCTTATTAACATTTAGTTTATTGCTTTTTTATTTTGACTTTTTCAGTATTATGAATAGCGACCCTCTCGTCGCATTATGAATAGCGACCCTCTTCTCCTATGATGAATAGCGAACCTCATTTCGTATCATGAATAGCGACCATCTACTCCTATTATGAATAGCGACCCTCACTTCGTATTATGAATAGCGACCTTATTTCGTATTATGAATAGCGACCCTCTACTTCTTTTATGAATAGCGACCCTCAATTCGTATTATGAATATCGACCTTCATTTCGGATTATGAATAGCAACCCTCTACTCCTTTTAAGAGTTTGACCCTGAGCCTCAGCAACAAATTGGTGACCATTGCCATTGGTAGCCATGGTGTTGGCTGTGGTAGTTACTAATAGAACGTGAGTAGTGTGGTTGAAGGATTCGCAGATTTTCATCTGACGGGGACCGCGACGAGAACGCTCCTTCAATGCCCTCCCCCCAGTAAAGAGACTGCAAGACATGATCCAATTTGTCTCAGTCAATAATTGCGAATCAACTGTCAGACATATTACATGTGGTGTACTACAAGGGACGTTACTCGGCCCGCTGCTCTTATTTGATAAATAAATGATCTTAAAACGCATCTACCATCTTATCTTTAATCTTATTTGCAGATGACATTAATATATTTTTATCTCATCGTAACCCACAACTTTTACTTCATACTGTTAATTATGAATTTACTTTAATTTGTGAATAGATCCAGGCAAACAAACTCTCCTTGAGTATTAAAGTTGTTCAGTGCTATGTAGTGATCGGGAGTGATCGCCAAGTTGCCTACTTTACAAACGACTATACTGTATATACCCACGCATGTGCATCTTTACCAAAACCAATTACATATTATAAAGCAATATTATTTACTCACTTTCGGGTGAAGTATTTATAAATGGAGCAGCCCTTGATTGTGTTCAATTTATACAATTTCGTGGAATATACATTGTCAACAATTAATCGTGGAAAACACACATTGATATGGTCTGCCGACTTGTTTCACGAAATATTGGTGTTATAAACAAATTTATCAAATATCATCATCACTTTACTCTGGTATAGTGATGTGCCCGACTATGTCATTGTCATACATATCTATAATCTAGTATAGCTTTTCGACAATATAACATGAATCCAAGGGCCTGTGAAAATGAAATTACTACTGTTATCAAATAATACAAACAAACGAATGTGATAAGTATAACCTATGCTAATCCTACATGTGCGCTGGCGACATTAACGTCGTCATCGGCATCGTTTCAACTGCAGCTTATGAAGGAAACCTCCGGCTTGTAAATGGATCGGACTACACAGAGGGTCGACTCGAAATCTTCCACGACGACCAATGGGGCTCGATCTGCGACAACACCTGGTTCGGCGACGACGCTTCGGTCGCCTGTCGTCAGATGGGCCTCGGTAATGTCAAGTATGCTTACCAGGACTATGGACCAGGCCAGGGACCTGTACATCTAGATGATGTGGACTGTCGCGGTACTGAGATGTACATTACGACCTGTCAGAAGGGTGATTGGGGAGTAAACAACTGTGGACACGATTCAGATGTCGGCATGTCGTGTTTTCTCTTTGAAGGTAAATCAATGCCGATTGGTCTGTTTCTTAACTTTGGATGGGTAATCTAAGTGTCCCATTCTGGCACCTTAAATACAATGGTTATGGTTTGTTCAGAAATGCATATGAGATAGCCGTACTTTGATGTGTGAAAGTAGTAAACTAGGCGTTTTAAATGGCCATACTGAACTTTAAATTAGATTCAGGCATCCAAATTTGCAAAAGGAATCAATAATCTTTAGAAGGTCTTAATCTGAGTTTATTATAGCAACATCTTTGTCACCTTGACTCGAAAGTTTAGCGCTAACGGAGGCCTTTAGCTATAAATAAGGCCTTATCCTCATTAAACGATATCACATTCTCAACTTGCAACAAGGTTATAACTTGTATGTTGAATTGGTTCGATACAAAATTATTATGAAGAAGGCTATTTAATTTGTTTAAAGGCGTGATGTTTACTAATCAGTGATATTCTTTATTAAATTGTATTGTTCATTTTTCTTCTTCTTATCAGAACCTGAAGACGGTGACGTTCGTCTAACCGGTGGAACAAGCTTCAAAGAGGGCAGGGTAGAGGTCTACCATGATTATGCTTGGTACAGTGTTTGCAGGGACACGTCATGGGGTCAAGTGGACGCACAGGTCATCTGCAATGAGCGTGAACTCGAACTCGAATCTGAAGACGAGGATTTCGGACCGGGTCTCTACCCCGGGATCATAAGCCATGTTGACTGTGTAGGCACAGAAAGTATTTTTAAATTCTGCGATTATAACCTCGACGATGGGGAATGTGGATCAGATGATACGGTCGGGGTCGTGTGTAAAGATTATTCAGGTAAACTCAAGATGAGTATCCAACTGGATAGTTTCTATAATTTTCAGTTCACAAAAAAATGAACTAAGTCAATAGGTATTATTACTAGTTTGGCAACAGATTTAATTTGCGTTTTTTTTTTGTCTCAGTGGTGTCTTCAAGCGCATCAACTTTGTCGTGTTAAATATATTTAACTTGTATCTGTTTAAATGACTCATCCTCACTTAACCAACGATTTACATTTACGTAATTTTATAACGTCTTTCGTAAAAACATATCTATAGGTTTATGACGGTAACATCTAGCTCGTGTCTTATAAAGAGATGCGATTTATCCAAAGTGATGGTAAGATGACTCAAGATTGATTTCAGTCGCAAAACACAAAGATCAGCATCGACGTGTGTATATGTCCGATTGATTGGAGGACTTGAGATCGATTTAAATCCATCAAACTTTATTTTCTATGACGTCATTGTGTGAAAAGTGATTGTTCATCTTAGAGCTAATTCACGTACAGAGAGTCGAGCCTGGCGAAGTTGCTTATGATTGGTCAGACACGTCATGGAGCTCCAAATAGCCCTCCCCCAACAGAGATTGTGCGTGGGAGGGAACTATTTGGAACTACATGGTAGAACTTAGGCTTTAACCTAAATATGACTGCGCTCGCGTGCTTTTGTTATGCGCGTATCACAACTTTGTCTCAAAAAACGCCATGGTTCATTTTTATACGACAGTTGCTCCATCGGAAGGGGATATACGACTGCGGGATGGACAGACCTTCGACGAAGGCCGGCTCGAGATATACCACAACGCCGTTTGGGGGTTCATCTGTAGAACCAACTGGGAGATAAGCGAAGCTAAAATAGCCTGTCGCCAACTCGGATACGACCACGTTCTCCAAGCTCGCATCTCAACTGACTACGTTTCCAGGCCCGTTCACCTTGACAACGTCCAGTGCATAGGTGATGAGGAAAGGCTGGTCGATTGCGAGCATGATCCTTGGGGCAATGTCAAATGCACGGCATCGTATGGGGTCGGAATTGCCTGCTCTGAAACTCCTGGTAATCCAATTTAATTATACCTCATTTGATCTCTTGATATTATTATTTTTTCTTTGGGGGGGGGGGGCAGTAGAATACATAACTTTCAAGGCTGCCATGAAGGTTAATTTATTATCAGCAAAGTCTACAAGTCATAATTGAATATGCACTCCAAACAACAGGACTCGAACACTTGCTAGCACATGCACATAAACATTAATAATAACATAAATAAAACGTTTCACAAAAGCCATACAATTACATAATATACACGTTTACACTTAACGCAAAAAGGTTGATAGGATTTATTTATATCTGATTATATACGGTTTGGCCGCCCATATAGGTTTTTTTCCTGAGGCCGCCATCATGGTCAAGCTCTGGCTTAAGATGGCAGTCTCTTGCATTTTTCAATTTTGAAATGATTTGACAAGTATATGTTTTGTTTAAGGTATACTTATTTATTTTAATTTATATTATGCCATGATTATATATGTATTTTAACTTTAGTTAATAACATATATGTACATAGTTTGTATATTACTGTCTATTATGTTAAAAGGGGCAAACAAAAATCTTAATGACCACCAAATTCTTTTGAAAATTCCAATGAAAGTTCGGATTACTGTTTGTCAAGTTTCATTCTTTTGATATATTTCGGGTCATTATTACATAATGCAGTAACCGTCAATTCAATGATTTCTACTCAGCTAAGTTTGTCAAGCTTTAGATTTTAAACAATCTTTCTTCCTAGAGGCATGTCGTTTTCTTCCTATGAAAGATTGTTAAAGTGGTAATGATTGTCCTGAATTTGTGTCAACCCTGTGTCGACCCCTAATCCTATGGAGTTCATAATCGTCTGGTCGTAGAGATATGTGAACGGGGTGGGGTCAGATGGACAGATGGATTGCATAATCTGTGAATAGCTAACTCAGCTATTCATGGTAAAATTTAACTCATGTTTCTTGATACATAAACTGTATGAAAACATTTAGAGACCTCCAGTTACTTCAAAAAATATGTAACCTAGGTACATATACTTAAACAAGATAATCACATGGCATTCTCCGGTATAGTTTGCATACATCTTTCATCCGGCACCTCCCTCCCCATGTTAACAAGAAACCTGAATATACGAAATTCAAAGAAAGTATGCCATGGATTTAGCCAGGTTTGCGTGGTCAGGCGAGTTAGAATTCCAGACAGCTTCGTTGACATATACCCTTGAAATAGGAACTACTAGATAACAAATAAAAAAACTATTCGCATTGATTTATTTTTCATACATTCTACTCTTCAATATCCTCCTTTTATCCTTTCGTTTCTGTCTGATTGTCTGTCCTGGTTTCTATTCTGATTGCAGTTTTTGAAGGCAAAATGCTGTTAAGGAATGGTGCGAGCGAAAACGAAGGCATACTCGGGATCTATCACGGCGGCGTCTGGGGCACGATCTGTAATGATGATTCCTTTTCGCACATCGAAGCCCTAGTTGCCTGTCGGCATCTCGGCTACGACATGGTGACTAGATTCGCCACATCCATCACCCCCGGATGGGGTGTTATTCAGCTGGATGCAGTGAGCTGTTATGGGTATGAATTGACTCTTGGTAACTGCGCTCATGGAGAATGGGGGAATCCTTCATCATCATGTACCTATGATACGGATGTATGGCTGAGCTGTGAGAATAAACCAGGTAAGAATAAAACACCTTCACAGGAGTACCAGAGCAGTTCTGGAAGATTTAAAATTACCAAAAGTAGCATGGCACAGGGTGGTCTCCCTTTTTGTCCACACCCGGTATCTACTTTTGATTTTAAGTTCATGATCGGAGAAATGTCAAAGATGAGTTTAGTTGATGAGGACCTATATTGCCCTCCATTGAGTTTGGGTACACTTGTAATTTGAACTGATTTTTCACAATCACCCACGTTATATTCATCGTCATTGTATCAAACTGAAGAATAAACATCAGCGTTCAAGTTGAAACCAGTTTAACAAGTGTAATAGCGGCATTCTTCAAAATATGACCATTGCTTTTACCGATGAATATTTAAAATGTATTGACTGATAGGTAATAAGCATTTGTTTACTCATTCAGAAAACTCCTTTTAGGAAGCACATTGAACAATAACCTCAGGCGCGGATCTACGGGGGGGGGGGGTTAGGGGGTTTAAACCCCCCCCCCCCCCCCAAAAAAAAAGGAAAAAAAAAAAAAAAAAAAAAAAAGAACGCACGCTGGAGAGAAACCCTTTCAAGTGCAAATATTGTTAGAAGATATTCAACTCATCTGGTAACTTAACCAAACACATGATAACTCTGGATATAACTGTGTATTAAACTGTTACTTGATTTAAAAAGACGTTATCATGCACTGCTTTTTATGGTCTCCATTGTGTTGATAGATGCCAGGAAAACATCACTTACGGGGTTCAAATAAACACCCCCGAAAAAATCGGTTCGCCGCTTCACGGCTCGTTATTTTGGTCAACCCCCCCCCCCCCCTTAGCAAAAAGCTAGATCCGCCCCTGAACCTGTTTTTGTGTTTTGTTTTCTTTCATGGGAAAGTATATTTTATTGTTTATTCCATGCTGTTGTTTTACCTTAACAAGAAAAAGATTGACTGAACGAATATGGTTGTTTCCTGAATTTCATATTCTCTTTTCTTCCCTCAGCCGAGCATGGTGCCGTCCGCCTGGTCGATGGATTTACGTCATCACAGGGGCGTGTCGAATACTACGACGACGGTCAATGGTCAACCATCTGCGACACCGTGGGCGATTTGAGAAAAGCAACCGTGGTGTGTCGGCAACTCGGCTACCTCACAGCCAGCGAAGCATTCGGTGGATCGTATTTCGGCTCAGGGTCGTCGGATCAGCCAATCGACGCCGTTAGTTGTCATGGTTACGAGGCGGCGTTTGAAGACTGTGATCATCGCGTTTTTAGCCCTGAGAACTGTGAATACCATGAGAATGATGCTGGGGTTATCTGCAACGACCAAGGTATGTTTTGGGGTTAATAACTCTTGTTAATACTGTTCCGACCAGAGAGTGCATATTCAAAAGAGAGAGTCATTGATATTAAGAGAATGGTTTGAGATAGGTATTGTTAGTGCAAAACTATAGGGTGGTAGGACTGCAGCCCCACTAAAGTTTGAAATACCTATATTCGGATAACCGTCACCTCATATTCGATCAGCGAGGAGCTCGAGTGATGTCATCCTGGTAGCAAAGGTACCCTCAAGTAACCTCAAATTCAGCCTTACAGTTCAGTTCTGTTTCTTTTATTTCACATGAAAACAATATATTAACAAAAATATTATATTATATAGATTGATATTCATGAACAATAAGACATCTACATGTACATGGCAACGGTTTGTATTGCATTAACACTGGATAATTTCGAAATTACATGTGAATCAAGGAACTTCATAAAAAGTTTTTAAGCTGTTTGAGATACGGATCAATGTTGCTCCAGTAGTTTAGTCCTGTGTATGATATTGTTTTGGGGCGAAAACTGTCCTGGTTTGAGGAAGATGATAGTTTGCACGCGTTGCATGTCGTGTTTGGTATGTGTGTATAGCGTCATTTTTTTAAAGAGTTCAATCGTGGCTGATTGGAGTTCTCGGTGGGGTTAGTATGTGAGCAATAGTAAACAAATATATCATGCACTGAGAGGCTCTAGTTTAAATTATGGATCGAGTTGGCAAAAAAAAAGTGTTATTGCTGTCGCCGAGAAATCCATAATTTCACTAGTGGCTTAAGATTTTTGTTTTTCAAACCAACCTTCATTAAAAAAAAATTTAAATTCTGTCACCGAGGAATCCACAAATTTAAGACCAAAAGCTGGTGCTATACCGTGTGAGTCAAAACAAAGTTTACACCTATCATCTATGAACAGTAAATTATTATACATGTTTTATCCCAAATCATTCGGTACCATTTTTGTGTTGTCATTCCTCGCTCATTTTTCCTGATTGAGGTGTCATATGAAAGGGCAGAAACTCAACTTTCTAGAAATGTGAATTTTTCCTCGAAATTCAGATACCGCCCGCCAAATGTCTTTTTGGTTTCCTTCCTTCCTTCAAATTGCTTTTGATCACTCATGCGTGAAATATGCATTATCTGAGTAGCATCACATGAAAGAGGAGACTCTAAGCTTTCCAAATATGTATCATTCATTACTTATAGTTGTGAATAAGTTATGATAGAACATCGATACTTCTCGGTTTCGTTTTTTCTGGGACGCACTGTATATAGATATGAAAATGTGAATGTAGCTTATGAGAATTTGTATGACATGTTTGTAAATGTGTGTGATAAACATGCACCTACTGTGACATTTAGCAGAAGATCTACACAAAAAAAGCCTTGGATATCAACAGGTATTGTAAAGTCTATCAGGAAGAAGCATAATCTGTATAAAAAATATAGGTCATCAAACTTTAATGAAGAGTATGGAAATGAATACAAGAAATATAGAAATATGTTAGTAACTATTATAACAAATGCTAAAAGAATGTGTTATAGCGATTCCTTTAGCGAAAATAGAAATAATATGAGGAAGACCTGGGGAATTATCAAAGAGTTAATCGGTAGAAATGATAAAAATAAGAAAACAAAGATTGAGCAGTTAGATATTTGTGATGAGGGAACGAATAAAGCTGTGTCTTCAGAGGATGGCATAGCTAATGAACTTAATAATTATTTTGTTTCTATAGGATCAACATTAGCAAAGAACATTCCAACTGTGAATCTTGATTTTAAAAACTATTTAGGTAGAAGAAATGAAAAATCCTTCTTTTGGAAACCCATACAAGAAACAGAAGTTTTTGATAATCTGTATGCTCTCGATGCTAAGAAATCCCATGGATATGACAAATTGCCAGTAAGATTAATTACGGATGCAATACCCTATATTGTTGCGCCACTGACGTACATATTCAATTTGTCATTAGAAAAGGGAAAGTTCCCAGATGCATTGAAGACAGCAAAAGTGACTCCTTTATACAAAAAGGACCAAAGACCGACCCTGGAAATTACAGGCCCATTTCTGTTCTACCGGTCATTGCAAAAGTCTTTGAGAAATTAGCTAATGGTCGTCTAATGAATTTCTTAGAATCTAACAAGATTTTGTATGAACATCAGTACGGTTTTCGCAAGCGATATAGTACGAAGTTATCATTGATAAATCTTGTAGATACACTTATAAAATCAATGGATAAAGGTAAACCAACGCTACGTATTTTTATAGACTTTAAGAAAGCTTTCGATACTATTGATCATGAAATCCTTTTAGGAAAGTTAAACAATTATGGAATACGAGGCATAGTATTACAATGGTTTCAAAGTTACATTTCAAATCGATCGCAAGTCTTATGCTACAAGGAAATAGTATCAAGTAGGAGAAGGATAACATATGGTGTCACTCAAGTTTCAGTCCTCGGGCCCACTTTGTTTTTACTATATATTAATGATTTACCATCTTCTACTAAATATTTTGAATTCAGATTATTTGCTGATGATTCAAACCTATTTCATACTTTTGATAAAAAACAGAAAGAAATAGATATGAATGAAGTGAATAACAAATTTGTGGAAGTCCAAAAATTGTGTCTTGTTAACAAGTTGACGATAAACTTAAAGAAAACAAATGTTAAGCTCATTAAGGGACAAAGGCAATCATGTGAAATTAGGGGCATTTTAAAACTAAGTGATACAGTGATAGATAGAGTCAGTGTAGCATCTTTCGTAGGAATTCAAATTGATGAAACCTTGATGTGGTAGGAGCAAATTCAGAACATTAATAAGTGTATACGGAGGAAGATTGGACTGCTGTGTAAGTTGAGACACTATGGGCCTAAGCACATTCTCATGCTCTTGTATAAATCCTTTCTCCAGCTGCACATACTTTATGGTATTGAAGTTTGGGAAGTTGCTATGAAAGTCATTTAAATTGCATACTATTGGCACAGAAAATGGCCATGCGTGTGATAACATTTTCCCCATTTAGAACAAGTTCAAAGGCACTGTTCGTACGTCTACAGGTATTAGATGTGCATAATCTGTTCAAGCATTCAGTATCGACCTTTGTATATGACCTGCAGAAAGGACATTTACCACATTCGTTAATGGATTACTTTGTTTTAATGAATCACATGTATAGAACAAGAGGGAGTGAACATTTGATGCTACGATTACCTAAATGTAGTACGACACATGGCACTTTTTTCAATTTCTTCCATTGGAGCAAAGCTGTAGAATAATTTGCCCATAAATATAAGAGAAGAAAAAACAAGATCATCATTTTGTCAAAATCTCAGAATTAAACTCCTAAGCAGAGATGAATCATGAGGATCAAATAATATGATAAGTCAAAATAAATATCAATATGAATTTGCATACAGTTTTAGAAACTTGGAGAACCAATCCCGACTAGCACTCGTTCTAACTATTAGATCTCCCTTTAACAACATTTTAAGTTTTTAAGTTTAAAAATATCCTTTATTTGAATCACTTATACGCTATTGGAACTCTGTGAATTTCAATTCCAGCCACAAATCTCTACGTATTATTAAGTTATAGCTAATTCACAGGTTTTGATATGACATTGTATATGATTAATTTAATTTGTACACATAGTTCAACTATGGATATTTTCCTTTTCTTTGTAACTCATGTACATGGATATTTTTGTTATTTTGTTACCCACTTGAATACATTTGTAACATTGTGTTATGTTGTTGTTTTGTTGTCAATAAATTCAAATTCAAATTAAAAAACAAGAAAAAAATACCATAACATGCCAGAGTCACTGAAGAACCACATTTGCAATGGAAAATAATTTATCCTTAAATATCACATTTAAGCGTTCTAATCGGCGTTCCCTACGCGTGTTTGCAAGGAATATGGGTACCATAAAATGAGCTGTATTTCAAGTATTTTTCAGATTAGCACGATTATGTGTGAGTCGCAAGCTCAAAAGTATCTCATCGCATGTATTAAATCAATGCAGCCTAATACCGCAGCGCACACACGATATCTCTGTCTAATTCAGATTCCAATTTCTGATCACCGCAGGGGTAGTTTTTGGCACGGCGAGCTTCGGCGTGGGATACCTGCTCCGGCCGCAAGTGCTATAGGTCAGCGGGGGAACGCACGGCGCGCGCGCTTGCTTCCTATTGACTTTGTACATGCGGCCGAAAACTGACTCCGAAACAGTGAACATGAAAATGAATATTGTCACGGCAATTCATGATTTTTTTCTGGGATTCTTTTTTTGTTTAAATAATAATAGTATATGCTTCATGATTTGAACAAGAAATGATAATAAATAGGAAGTAAAGAGTCCCAAAATAGGATTTTGTCTTAAGTGGCCGAAACCCCCCCTCCTTTACTTTATATTAAAACTCCGCTTATTTGGTAAGTAGATATAAATCGACCTTATTTAAATATAATTGTACAATTGTCAATAAAATTATGACAGTGCCGTGGTAGCGCAGGAACCGGACCGAGAGAGGAGCAAGGGCCTATAGGGCCTAGATCTATACCACACATAGCTACATACTAGATCTATCCTAGTTGTGTATTAAAAGCTGTGCTGATTCTCACTTCAACATTTCAAACACCACTGTACAAAACTCAACTGATTTCACTAGCAATTGGTACTTAAGTAACAATTGATGACACCTAAATAGCAGTAAAAAACCAATTATTTCAACTTACCGATGTTAAAAAGAATAATTTAAAAATTCAAATTGTAAGTCTACTAGCTGTCAAACTCGCCGATCAACCACATCGTATTTATTGCGTGCATTTGTGTATTGTGTATTGACTATTCGTGTGTACAATTGCTGCCAATTAGCACTTTTGCAGCGTTAAAGGTCAATAAAATGGGTATTGACTCTCTATGCTTTGCTGGAGTGGTTTAGACTAGGTCCACAAATCGAACTCTGGCGGCCCTTTCGCGAGTTCTATTAATATATGTAGTGTTTGAATTACCCCCATGCAAGAAATCCATAATTAAATACGGCAGTACCAGGGTTGAGTAAAAATATTGCAAGACAGGACCCAATTTGTCTCGGTCAATAATTGCGATTCATCTGTCAGACATATAACATGTGGTGTACCACAAGGGTCGTTACTCGGCCCGCTGCTCTTTATTTTATACATAAAATGATCTTAAAAGTGCATTTACCATCTTATCATTAATTTTATTTGCAGATGGCACTAACATATTTTTATCTCATCGTGACCCACAACTGTTTCTACATACTGTTAACTATGAATTTACTTTAATATGTGAATGGATACAGGCAAACTAACTCTCCTTGAATATTAACAAAACCAATGCGTATGTTATTTAGCAATATTATTGACTCACATTTCGTGGAATATACATTGACAACAGTTTATCATAGAAAACACACATTGATATGCTCTGCCGACTTGTTTCACGAAATATTGTTGTTATAAACAAATTTAGACTTCAATTTCCTTATCAAATATTATCATCTCGTTACTCTGGTATAGCGATGTGCCCGACTTTGTCATTTTCATACATATCTATAATCTAGTATAGTTTTTCGACAAAATAACATCAGCCCCCTTGGAAAAATGAATCCAAAAGCCTGTGAAAATGAAATAACTACTGTTATCAAATAATACAAACAAACTAATGTGATATGTATAACCTATGCTTATCCTACTTGTGCGCTGGCGACATTAACGTCGTCATCGGCATCGTTTCAACTGCAGCTTATGAAGGGGACCTCCGCCTGGTGAATGGATTGGACTACACAGAGGGTCGACTCGAGATCTTCCACGATAACCAATGGGGCTCGATCTGCGACACCAACTGGTTCGGCGACGACGCTACGGTCGCCTGTCGTCAGATGGGCCTCGGTAATGTCAAGTATGCTTACCAGGACTATGGGCAAGGCCAGGGACCTGTACATCTAGATGATGTGGAATGTAGCGGTACTGAGATGTACATTACGACCTGTCAGAAGGGTGATTGGGGAGTAAACAACTGTGGACACGATTCAGATGTCGGCATGTCGTGTTTTCTCTTTGAAGGTAAACCAATGCCAATTGGTCTGTTTCTTAACTTTGGATGGGTAATCTAAGTGTCCCATTCTGGCACCTTACATACAAGGGTTATGGTTTTGTTCAGAATGCATATGAGACAGTCGTACTTGATGTTTGAAAGTAGTAAAATAGGCGTTTTAAATGGTCATATTGCACTTTAAATTATATTCAAGTATCAACATTTGCAAAAGAAAGCAATAGTCTTTAGGAGGTCTTAGTCTGAGTTTATTATAGCAACATCTTTTTCATCTTGACTCGAAATTTTAGCGCTTAAGGAGGCATTATCCTCATTTAAATGATATCACAATCTCAACTTGCAAGAAATTTATAACTCGTATGTTGAATTGGTTTGATAAAAAATTATTATGAAGAAGGCTATCTAATTTTTTTAAAGGCGTGATGTTTGCTAACATTCTTTATCAAATTGTATTGTTCATTTTTATTCTTCTTATCAGAGCCTGAAGACGATAGCGTTCGTCTTACCGGTGGAACAAGCTTCAAAGAGGGCAGGGTAGAGGTCTACCATGATTATGCTTGGTACAGTGTTTGCAGGGACACGTCATGGGGTCAAGTGGACGCACAGGTCATCTGCAATGAGCGTGAACTCGAACTCGAATCTGAAGACGAGGATTTCGGACCGGGTCTCTACCCCGGGATCATAAGCCATGTTGACTGTGTAGGCACAGAAAGTATTTTTAAATTCTGCGATTATAACCTCGAAGATGAAGATTGTGGATCAGATGATAGGGTCGGGGTTGTGTGCAAAGATTATTCAGGTAAACTCAAGATGGGTATCCAACTGGATAGTTTCTATAATTTTCAGTTCACAAAAAATGAACTAAGTCAATAGGTATTATTACTAGTTTGGCAACAGATTTAATTTGCAGTTCTTCTGTCTCAGTGGTGTCTCCAAGCGCATCGAATTTGTAGTGTTAAAGATGTATAACTTGTATCTGTTTAAATTATTTATCCTCACTTAACTAACGATTTACCTCTACGTAATTTTATAACGTTTTTCGTAAAAACATATCTATAGATTTAGGACGGTAACATCTAGCTCGTGTCTTATAAAGAGATGCGATTGATCCAAAGTGATGGTAAGATGACTCAAGATTGATTTCAGTCGCAAAACCATCTCTATTCATAAAAGATTAGCATCGGCGGTAGGATCTGTGTGATTGATTGGAGGACTTGGGATCAATTTAAATTCATCAACCTGTATTTTATTGATGCTTTAATATTTTGTTATGATGTCATTGTGCGAAAAGTAATTGTTCATCTTAGAGCTAATTCACGTACAGAGAGTCGAGCCAGACGAAGTTGCTTCTGATTGGTCATACATGTCATGGAGCTCCAAATAGTTGTGATACGCGCATAAGACACGCACGCGAGCGCGGTCATAGGTTAAAATCCTATAAATTGTACATGTGTATAGTATACACAGTTATTTTTTTTGTGAACAAGTTGTTTAAAAGTTTAAACAACCTCGGATTAACGAGTGACCTGATCTGAGAGTGGTTTAAAATGTTAAGCATCTCGATTTGTCTAAAGTTTAAACACTTAGTTGATCAACATTTTGAACAACTTGTTTAAAATCACAATTTAAACAACCGGTGTTGTTTAAAGACGATTGTTTAAAAAGGAGCTGTTGTTCATCGGGGGTTGTTTACACCAACTGGGTTGTTTAAAGAAAGTTGTTTAAAAAGGAGCTGTTGTTCAGTGGGGGTTGTTTACAACAAAAGTCTACCTATATTCTGACATTTGCGTACAGATACTGAACATTTTAACTGAACTTACGCTATAAGTTAAAAACTTCAAATTGGTTAATAATAGAAAAGTGATTTCAATTAATCCATTGAATCCCCAGTCACTTAGAAACGCGTCGGTAGCTTGGTCGGCCATGATGTGAAATAAAGCTTTCAGCCAACGCGCACTTTACTGGCACGTGTCGACACATGACGTCATATGTAAACAACACTGTCTAAAAGCTCTCGTATTTAAAATATAGCAGTCATTAAATTTTAAACAGCGAATGTTTAACAAAATTACTTTCGTTTCGAGCAACATTGTTTACAATTTGTTCAACTGTTGTTTAAGATAGTGTACAACTGTAAGTGAACATCATTTTTTTAAGCAGCGTTTTTACTGTGTAGAAATATACAATGTCTTGATAGATTCTGGTTAAAACTATGGGCCTCGGTGACTCCAAAAGTACCATTTGCTTCAGAGCTGCACCCCGTCAGCAAACAGTACTATTGGAGTCACCTCTTGCGCATAGTTTTAACCAGAACCTCTCAAGACATTGTATATTTGTATACTATACAGATGTACAATTTATAGGATTTTAACCTATGACCGCGCTCGCGTGCGTGTCTTATGCGCGTATCACAAATATATCTCAACAAACGCCATGGTTCATTTTTATACGACAGTTGCTCCATCGGAAGGGGATATACGACTGCGGGATGGACAAACCTTTGACGCAGGCCGGCTCGAGATATACCACAACGCCGTTTGGGGGTTCATATGTAGGACCAACTGGGAGATGAGCGAAGCTAAAGTAGCCTGTCGCCAACTCGGCTACGACCACGTTCTCCAAGCTCGCCTCTCAACTGACTACATTTCCAGGCCCGTTCACCTTGACAACATCCAGTGCGAAGGTGATGAGGAAAGGCTGGTCGATTGCGAGCATGATCCTTGGGGCGATGTCAACTGCACGGCATCGTATGGGGTCGGAATTTCCTGCTCTGAAACTCCAGGTAATCCAATTTAATTATACCTCGATCATTTGATCTCTTGATATCATTTTGTTTCTTGGGGGAGGGGGGGGGAGAATACATAACTTTCAAGGCTGCCATGAAGCGTAATTTATTATCAGCATAGTCTACAAGTCATAATTTAATATACACTCCAAACACCAGCACTCGAACACTTGCTTGCACATGCACATAAACATTAATAATAACATAAATATAACGTTTCACAAAAGACATACAATTAAATAATATACACGTTTACACTTAACGCAAACAAAAAAATGGTTTCCTACATTATTTGGCTGATAGAATTGATTTATTTCTGATTATAAGTGGTTTGGTCACCCATATAGGTTACTTTCCTGAGGCTGCCATCACGTACAAGCTCTGGCTTAAAGTACAAGTCCATTCCAAAAATAACTTACTTTCAATAGAAGCAGAAACATCAGACAAACCAATCGAAAAACTTTGAGCAAAATCGGATAGCTAAAAATTATTGATTATTAATTGTTTTATGTTATGCTATGTTTATATGTATTTTAACTTTTGTTAATAATATATACCTAGTATGTATATATTACTTTTTATATCCTGCATCAACAAATTATTATTTTTGGTTTGTTGAGAGCTCGTCACATGACCAGAAATATTCCAACTATTTTTGAGGTCAGACCATGATTATGCTTGGTACAAAATTCCTGCCCCCCCCCCCCCACTCAGTGCTATTTAGGGTACGCATATGCTTGTTCCCTATTTATTGAAAGCACCCCCTATCTGAGGACTGCCAACATTTCCAAACCCCCCTTTCTCGGGCTTTTCGCGGGCTTTTCCTGCCTTGGAAACCCCCCTAAATACGGAAAAAATGCTCAATGTCCCCCCTAAATTCGGAATAATTTCTCAGGAATCCAAAGAGATGAGAGAAAAAAAGAAAAAACACCCCCTTTTTAAAGAAATCTCCGGGTGAAAAGTCAAATACACCCCCTTTTTTTCAATTCTCGGGCCGGACTTTGTCGCACGAAAAGTACCCCTTTACCGGACATTTTGGTAACACGCATGCGGTCATTCCGACCCCGGAGTAGGGCGGGGGGGGGGGGGCGGGAAAAAATTACGCTATGATTATGCTCGGTGACTCAAAAAATACTATTGGGTCACCTCTTGCCAATATCTTTAACCAGAACCTCTCAAGACAGTGTATATTTGTATACTATTATGTTGAAAAAAGGCAGAAAAAAAGCATATGACCTCCAAATTCTTTTGAATGTAACTTAATTTCAGAGCCATATAATGGAAATATTGTACAAATACGCATAAATTCATTCACCCTATTCAGATTATGTAAGTAGTTGTGATACATCCAGTGATGTATTAGTTATATAAACCGCTCGTCTATACATTTGCTTACTATCGAAATACTGTAACGTTAAAAATCCTAAAATCCTGGTTTATGATTAAACGATACCTAACTGTTAATTTTATTGCCTGATGAATTATGGTGAATTGAACAGGATTAATGGACAGGGCTGACTTCGACTAGCGTTTGCTGACTCCATTTACTGAATGTATATCATATCGTATATTTCTATATAACCTTGAATATTTCGTTCATTAATTAATTAAATGAATGAAACCACTCAATTTCATACGATTGACAAAATCACCGGTAGAAAAACATCCATATCTTATTCATTAATCTCTAATGTAAGAAAAATCCTTCTTTGTTGTCTTATCTTCACCAGTTGAAGAACATCTTGAAGGATGGGCCATCACCTTCATCGTCATCGTTGTCATGGTACTCGTATTTGGAGTTATATACATTATAAACATTATATACAAGCACCGGGTAGAATACGGCGTTGCTTGTTTTGGTGGGTTTATTGGGCTTTGCTCTGAATGTGGCGATTGTTCTGATTGATGCCTGATTGATTTGTATGTAATCAATAATTTAGGTTTAGTTAAATGAAAATTCTCAAAAATACGAGTTGGAAAAGAATTAATTGTATTATTAATTTGTTTTCTCGAATTAAGGTGGCAGTTGCTTATTCATGTATTTGAACATGAAAATTGCAACTTGGAGAATATGTTAGTCTTTTAATGTTTTTAACTTTACAAATAATGGGGCTGTATGGTCTAAGAAAGGAGATCCAGTACAAATACGCAGGGCCCTTCTTTGCAATGAAAGAATCGAATTAATCAAGTTTGGTTACACCACATTTGCCCAAACAATATACATTATGTTACATACGGAAGTACTCGTGTGCTATACTTAGCATGGGGCAAAAGGGGCTAAAGACTTTAAAACTGATTCATGATTTCAACACTTTCGGATATATACATAGATACATAATGTCAGTGATCATTCCATGTTAATTTGTCATCATTAAATACTCCCAAAAAATTTGATGTCTTGTTTTCTTCGATTTGCATATTATCAATTTTATAATATTTGATATAATATTTATAATATTAACACGGAAGAAAGTTAAATGAGAATTATAGTGTTTAGAGTGCATACAACGTGTTTTTCTTCTGTTTGAGATCTTAATACACATAAATCAGTTAAAAACTTTGCGTAATTCACAATTTAAAACATTCACCAATGTTTCAAATTTCCTATGAGAGCAAAAAATATTTGTGTCATCCGCAAAAAGCATTAAATGACAATAAAGAAGATGTGTTGGATTATCATTTATGCATAAAAGAGGGCCAAAAATGGAGCCTTGAGGGACACCACAATTAACGGAAATTGACATATTCTTTTCTATTTGTTAAATAATCCTTAAAATATGAGAGGAATTGGCCCCGAATACCATTAAAGGACAGTTTGTTGAGTAAAATATTATGATCGAGTGTATCAAACGCTTTACTAAGATCTAAAAAAATAAACCAATCACATGTTCTTTATTTGCTATAGCATTAGTAATTTTATCATAAATTTGTACTAAGGCCAAGGAGTGACTAAGGAGTGATTTTTTCTCGAATGATATTGATTTAAATTTACTATTTTGTGCGTATTTAGAAAATAGACTAACCTATCATAAGCAATTTTCTCTAAAACTTTAGATATACTAGGAAGTATAGAGATTGGACGATAACTACTAATTTCGTGCGGATCGTCTTTTTACTAAAAAATCGGATTTACCTTCGCTATTTTAAGTAAATCTGGAAAATCACCTTGCAATACAAACTGATTAATAATATGGGTTAGTGGATTAGCAATAACATGTACCATTTGTTTTAAAAGTGGTGTACTAATTCTATCATAACCTTGAGCTTTGGGCATGCTTAATGCTTTAGTAAGGTTAATAATTTCGTTATGGTTTGTGGGACTTAAAAAAAGTGATTGTTGGATTTGATCTGATAAAAAGTCAGTATAATGAATGATAGAACTATCAATTTTATTTGCAAGTTGGGGGCCAATATTAGTGGAAATGAAATGAACTGATTAGCATAATTACTAGAGTCTTCAATTATCACATTATCTAAGGTAACTAGGTCATCTTTTTTTCCCATAACTTCTTTAATAACTTTCCAAACTCGCCCTCTTTAAATTATTAGAAAAGTGTAGCTTCTGGGATATTTGAATTAATTTCGTTAAGTTGTTACGATATTTTGTATACCGTAGGTTGTTAAATTTACATCAGTGGAGTTATGTAAATATATTGTATACATGCGATTTCTAATTTGTGTTGATTTAAGTATTCATATCTGGTTTGCTGAGAACAAAAAGACGACTCTCTGCACGAAATTGTATTATGGCGTTGATTTGTACTTTAATCAAATGACCAACGATGTGAGTCAAATGTCGTCGAACAACGCAGTTCAGATGTTGAAGAATATATAATTCAATCTGCATAAAAAGAACAAACAAATTGAACCGGAAATTAGACATGTACCTTCAGTACCTTGATTAACACTGAATACATATTTGTCTAGACTATGAAGCTCAGAATTGTACTTCTTATATAAATAATAAACTTGACTGAACTATCAAAACATGTCTCTCTGTGTCATTATTGAATAATAACTGTTGTATCTTATCTTGCATCATGACCACTAGTCATCAGAAACATATGTAGTCTAAATCATAATTATCTTCATGAAATATCTGCAATAATTACCTTACAAATATTAAAGTGTAAACTACTCCAGTAATCCTTTTGTATTGGAAAATAAATCTCAAGCCATGTATATCAAGTTCAACTTGACCAAAATTCAACTTGCAATGTTATTATGCACATCACAACTCTTGCATAACTTTTCTCTAACCAAGTTAAAATAACCTAGCCCAGTTTGATTCATTTCAGACACTCAGTTAACATATAAATCCCTCATGCCTTTTTGATTTCTCCATTAATAATTGTTGTACAGATTTATAAGCTTTCATAAACATAAGCCCCTGACAAAAACACTCATTGATGTAAACAATGCAACAAATTGATGTGCTAACTTCAGTTTTGGTTTCATGCTCAAAACCTATGTAAATTGCACCTCCTTTTAAACACAGGAAAGTAACATTAAATTCTTGAAGAATTATTAATAAAAACAGCTTGACCTCATCTCGATAGTTATTTCCTTTCATACCCTTTTCCATTATAAGGATTATATTTTGTTTTCATATCTCATTTTTCCCACGAAACTTGTCGCATTCTTATATCTTACTGCAGCGACAGGAAATATGCAAATTAAATGCAAATGAACATAAACCACGAGAATTCACTTTTCGTTTCACATTTTAGTAATTTGTTCATAAAGTCATTAAACCTAATATTAAAGCAAACTTACTTCTTGGGCAGGAACTATAAACTTTCTTAAACATAATGAGAGTCGGCCAAACTTCTAGCTTGACGAAATCTGCACATACGGTTGAAATTTCAAGCCTTCGGTCGAAACTTGTGCCTCGGGTTTTCTGACATGTTTCGAAGCTAAAATTAGCCACCTATAAACGGCCGTAAACCGAAAAATCTATGGTATCTTTCAATGAACAAGAAAAAGAGTAAATATCAGCAAATCCACTAGAAATAAGTTTCGATCAACGAAACATCCTCCCGCCCCACCGGATGAGGAGTCTTTCTGAAAGCTTGAAATTTCTCAAAACAAATACACTGTATATCATATGATTACATGCATGTGAATCATTACATATATTATATCAACAGTCTCAGTTCAAATGAGAACTCATTCTCTATTGTTCAGTTCGATCTAGTCAATATAACCTTCTGCAGGGTAAATTACTGCTAGTTTTGTAATCGGTCTCCGATACTCTCCGGAAACAGTTTTTAGCTTCACATTCCGAACTTTACCATCAGGTCCCGGATAAACCTGAATGATCCTAGCTATAGTCCACTTTCCACGTACTGCATTACTATCTGCAGTCATTACAACATCTCCTACACGAACGTTCCTACGATCGGCGTTCCACTTTCTGCATGGTACTAAAAGTGGTAGGACGTTTTGCGACCACCGCTTCCAAAAGGAATCTACTATCTGCTGAATGAATTCTACGCGATGACGCGGATTCTTGGTTTGCTTAAATGGACCTTGAGGAACATTTCTCGATGATCTACCTAACAATATATCATTGGGACTCAAATAACTTCCATCATCTGGGTCATTGCATTTCCGTCCTATCGGTCGCTCATTCATGAGATTAGCTACTTCGAGAAAACATGTTAACAACTCAAAAGGAGTGAGCACCTGCTCACCGATTGCTTTCTTGATTGCAATTTTAGCACTCTTCACGAGCGATTCTGCGCACCCATTTTGGTGGGGTGCACCAGGGGTAATGAACTTCCACTGTACCCTGTTTTCCGCTCAGAAATCTTTGAGCTCATCTTCACTCCATCCCGATATCATCTCGCGAAGTTCGCGTTGAGCTCCTACAAATTGGGTACCATTATCGCTAAGAATTTGAGCTGGTTGTCCCCTCACTGCGAAGAATCTCCTTAAAACTTGGAGAAATTCCATTGTTGAACAATCAGTCGCGATTTCAAGATGAACTGCACGGGTGTTTAGGCATGTGAAGATTACACCGTAGTGTTTGGCCCTCTTGTTACGACCAACTTTAACTTGAAATGGACCAAAATAATCACAGGACGTGTAATAAAACGGTGGAGTATGGGGTGCTACGCGACTGCTGGGCAAATCAGCCATCTTCTGTGTCTCACGCTTACATTCTGCTGACCTGCACTTCACACATCGATGCTTAACAGTTTTAGCTAGACGATGTCCCTGAAGAATCCAAAACTTACGTCTAGTCTTGGCGGTCGTTGTCTCAATTCCCGGATGTCCAATCTCATGAACATGACGTGTGATTAGAAGAGCTATATGATGGCTAGCTGGCAGCAGAGCTGGGTGTTTAGATTCGTAGGATGTCACTAAGTTCTCCACTCTACCCCCTACTCTGATTATTCCTTTGTTGTCAAGGAAAGGAGTGAGAGTTTTGAATTCTCCTTTCTCAAATCTGCTCTTCAGACCTTTCTGAGCCTCCTTCGTCCAGTAGTGCTCAGCCTTCTCTAATTCTCCAGGAGTTAAAGTTACATCATCTTCCGGTATGGATGCTTTCATGAGCTTTGACTTGAGAATCTGCACATATCTGAAAACGTAGGCAGTCACTCTTACTAACTTTCGCCATTTTGAAAAGCGTTCACATTCGATGGGGTTGACTGTCATGTTGATGACTAAGACTGTCTGAGTCTTTCGTCTTTCTAGATTCTCAAGATTCTGATCGATTATAGCTTTGTCCACTGGCCACTCTGGTTCATCGAGGTGGAGAAAGTTAGGACCGCACATCCATTCATCCATTAGTTCCTTCACTGCGATTCCTCTCGAAACTTTGTCTGCTGGATTATCTTCACCAGGAATATGTTTCCAACTTGATGGGTCAGTGAGAGTCTGAATCTCCCCAACTCTACTTGATACGAAAGGCTTATATACCCTGGCTGAAGACTTGATCCACTGCAGAGTAATCATGCTGTCAGTGAAGAACACTACTTTCTCGACCTCTAGTCTCATCTCTTCGGTGATTGACTTGTAAAGTCTGGCAGCTAACACGGCAGCTTGTAATTCCAATCTCGGTATTGTCAATGCCTTTAACGGTGCTACCTTTGACTTTGATGCAATGAAGCGAGTCTCATACCTGTCATCTCTGGTTTGCCATCTCAGGTATGCACAAGCACCATATGCATTTTCGGAAGCATCAGAGAAAATGCACAACACTGGCTTGCCTTGAGCATCAGGAGGAGTAAGGCATCTTTCTAGTGATACTCCATTCAATCCTTTCATTTCCTCAAACAGAAGCCTCCATTCAGCATCTTCTTCTGGTGAAAGATGATCGTCCCAGTTGTAGCCTCTCTGCCACAATTTCTGCATACCTATCTTTGCTCTAACAATCACTGGTGCAGCAAATCCTATGGGGTCAAATATGTGGGCAATCTGACCAAGGATCTTTCTCTTAGTCAATTTTTCTTGACTCTCTCCATCTGTTGCTGATCTCATTACACTGTCTTTCAGCTTTACTTTGTAAGAGAAGGTGTCATTTTCTCTGTCCCAAACTACTCCAAGGACCTTCTCTTCAGCTATCTCATCCAACAATTTCATCTTTCCCTGGGTGAGGTCTCCGACATCTGATTCATTAGAAATCCACCCTTTGACCTTGAAGCCACCTTCATTCAACACTTCATCCATCTCGGCGCTGAGTTTCCTGGCTTCATCTACAGTCCTTACAGAGTCGCAAATATCATCCATGTACACATTCCTCTTTAAAACAGAAGCTGCCTGAGGATGTGTACTCTCTCCTTGCTCTGCTGTAAGCTTAAGGGCAGTCTGGGCTATCGCAGGTGCAGGTTTGTCACCGAACGTGACAACTTTCATCATATAGATGTCAGGTTCTCTGTGCTCATCCATGTCCCTCCATAGGAACCTGTGAACATGTTGGTCACTCTCTGGGATTGATACTCGATGATACATCTTAGATATATCCCCGCATAAGGCCACTTTGTTTTCCCTGAATCTCAGAAGTACTCCAATCAGATTGTTCAGGAGATCAGGGCCTTTCATCCAGTACTCGTTTAATCGATGACCTTGGAATGATGCTGATGCATTGAAGACTATTCGGAGAGGGGTGCTCTTCTTTTCTGGCCTCACAACCGCATGGTGTGATATGTAATGAACTGGCCCTTCATAATTCTTGATATCTGCTGCTGTTAGTTTCTTAGCAAATCCCATTTCTTCCAGTTCATGAATTTGCTTGTTATAGGCCTCTGCATGCCCTGGATTTCTAGCAAGTCTCTTCTCAGTAGACTCCAGTATTTTCACTGCTTGACTTTTGTTATCTGGGAGTTCATGAGGATCCCGTTGCCATGGATAGGCTATCTCCCATTTCTTTCCTTTATTCTGCGAAGAAGCTCTGATGATTTCTTCCTCTATCTGTTCTTGCTTGGTTAGCTTGGTAGTCTCTTGGCACTGACAACCTACCCCTTGTGATTCCAGTCGCCAAAATTCTGACAGATCGGGGTTCTGGACTGCGACATGTAGCACATTCACACAAATGGTTCTCTTGTCTGTGCCGCCGAAGATTACCCATCCTAACGGAGTCTTTCTTGCGATACAGTTTTTTCTCTTCTTCAGTTTTCCGCCTACAATGTATCTTGGATAGTCAACGCCTATCAGAACTTCTACAGGTCCACTATCTCGATTCAGGTTGGGAATATCGAACTGATCTGCTAGGTCTTTCACACTTACAGCTTCTTCCTCCGTGATTGAAGGTACACCTACAACTTCGATGAACTGATGTTTCTTGGATGTATTCGCTTCCCGAATCGGCACCTTGTATTTGAATGTCTCCAACTCTTCCTCAACTTCACCAAGTTTTTTAATGGTGATTCTAGTTCTGGTACCAGTCAAGTGGAGTTTCTCTGCTAGTGAGTTCTTGATCAAACTAACTTGTGAGCCGCTATCTAGCAGAACATTTGCTCTTGTCTGTAAATCACTGGCAATGTCTATGGTTAGGATTGGCAGAAGTGAAGCTCCGACAGTAGTTGCAACGTTAACGTTTTTTTTACTGCTCTCATTCTCTGATTGGTGACCCACTTCCATATGAAGCAAAGGATGATGGTAGTAAGTACACCCTTGCTCTGGACACCTCTGCCTTCTTCTGCAGTTTGCCATGAAGTGATTTTTCCCTGCTTTTTTCAAACAGCTAAAGCAGCATCTGTTTTCTTTGAAGAACTTAAGTCTCTCTGGGGCACCCATAGATGTCAGGCGCTTACACTGATCGATCCAGTGTTCATCCGTCTTGCAATACCAGCATCGATGTTGTCTTTGAATTCGGTCCGGTGGCTGATCTTCATGACGTCTATCACTGTAGGCTGGTTTATTCTTCTCTTTCATTGACATTTGGTTGACGTTTGCTGAACGGCCTTCGCTTTGGGATCTCAATGGCGCTGAAGATCTAATTCGTGCCTTCATTTCTAGGTTTAACCATGTCAACAAAGTTTGAAGACCTGCAGTTTGCTTCTCTGTTTCTTGGTATCTAAACCTATTCTTTCTGTCATTAGGGCACATCTTTCTTTCTATGGTGGCTAGCATATGACTGTTGTCCATATCGCTCTTCTTCCCCACAAGCTTGAGGATGTTGTAGCTTCTTCTTACAAGATTAACCAATTCACAAAATCTATTATCCTCGTTTTCCTTCAAGGGTCTGAATTTGGTTAAGTCATTGATGATAGTATCTGCTACGATTCTGGGGTCGCCATACATAGAGTCCAAGAGCTCCCATGCCGCGTCATAATCACTTCCTATCCCTTGGATAATATCATGTGCACGGCCCACTAGACAGCTTCTCAAGATTGTCATGGCATCACGTTTTCCATACTGCGAATCAACCATGTGAATGAAGTCTGACTTGAATATCTCATAGTCCCGAACATCTCCAGCAAACTTGGGCAACTTTGGCTTCTCCACTTTAAAACTACACCTGGCAGCTGCCATGCTTGGAGAAGTGTCTGGACTCTGATCTGGAGGTGGGGGCGCACTTGTAGACTCCGGTGGTGTAGAAGCCTCTCTCTCTACCGGCGGCATCTCAAACTGTGATGATACTTGTTCTGCTGGTGTCTTAACGTCTGGGCTTGTTTGAGAACAGTAATCAGTGACCGTTATCTGTAGTTCCATGAATTCCTTCTGGCAATCATTTATC